AGAAGAAGAGAAGAAGAAGAAGAACAGAAGAAGCTGCTACACCATGGTCGAAGAGAAGGCCCCGCCCCAGAAGTACTCGCGGTACCGCTCCGTGCGCCAGGCTGTCAAGCCAGAACCAGAGCCCCAGCCAGTGCTGTCGGCCTCGAATCCCAACAATGACGGCTCACATATGAACAGTCTGGCCCGGTACCGACGGGCCACCGTGCCTGCGAATGCGGACCAGATCGCTGGCCTGCCGACTCCGCCGGTGCCATCTCTGCCGGCTCTGCCCAGAGCCCAGCAGACGGCGAAGCTGTCCGAGACCAGGAACCTGGAGCGGAGGGTGACGGAGCCGGTGCGGAATACCCAGGCCGAGGAACTCTTCAGTAACGGGGGCAGATCCGGGCTCCAGCGTCGAGAGACGGAAGATGAGCGACGAAAGCGAAAGTTCCGGGAGAGGGAGGATCAGAACCGCAGGGTCGAGCGGGAAAAGGAGGAGCAGAGACGCTTGCGACAGCAGCAGAAAGATGACGAGGGGCGGCTGTACCGCGAAGAGGAAGAGGCCGCTGAGCGCGTGCTGGCAGAGCAGAAACGTAAGGATTTGGAGAGACTGGAGGCCGAGTTAGATGCTGCTTCCCCAGTGACGAGGCCATTAACCAGCCCGATGAGAGAGAAGCTTCCGTTCTTCTCGAGGAAACGAGACGCACCGAGGCCGAGGGCTCCTACGACGTCGTCGAGTGGATCTGGATCGAATTCCATGTCGAAAACTCGAAGCAACGGCGATGGTCCGCCACGGCCTGTAGAGGCCACTAGGAGTACGGAAATGCTCAGGGGCATAGAGCAAGGCGGAGGGGGAATCGTGCCGCAAACCGATGCGCCCATCTCAGCCTCCAATGCAGGAGAGCGTGTAAGTGCGCTGCTGTGGCTTCGTGTGCCTTGCCTTTCTAACCAAGAGCAGTGGGTTAACGTCCGATGCAAGCAATCCTCCATCGCCCTTCCGGTCACCCCCGAAACAACCCCAGTCGAACTCATATACGCATCCGCCAATGTCATGTCTCACCACATCATACCTTCGAACACTATACTCCTCGAAGCGTACACACAGCTCGGGCTGGAGCGTCGGCTACGCCGGTATGAACACATTCGAGACGTCATGAACTCGTGGGATCGGGATACCCAAAATGCACTGTTGCTGACCAGGTCGGACTCTCCCAAATTCGATACCGACCTGGAAGCCTCTTCGGTGCCCCAAGAGGCCCCGGGCGATCTCACATTCCCCTTGTACCATTCCCAGGGGCGTGGGAAGTGGAACAGGCGACTCGTATACATACTTTCATCTGGCCAAATGTTCACATCCAAAAAGGAGGCCGCGAAGATTTCCGACAAAGATTCGTTGACCATATGTCATTTGTCCGATTTCGATATATACACCCCAACCCCGCAGAAGATACGCAAGGAACTCAAGCCCCCGAAGAGGTATTGCTACGCAGTCAAAAGTCAACAGAAATTGACCCTGTTTCTGAGCAACGAGAATTTCGTACACTTCTTCTGCTCGGACGACCAGGCGATAGCCGAGAGTTTCTACGACGCTGTCCAGCGCTGGCGCAGCTGGTACCTCGTCAACAAAACGGGCGAAGGCCAAAACCCTTCCACCCTCGGCTCTTCTGCACCCCTCGTCAACACGGATCGTTTCGCAGCTAGATCTCCGAGGTCCAACGAGGGCGAATGCGATTCGGAAGAGGAGAACAAGCCCCGCCAGATCCCGTTCTTTCTGCGCAACAGCATCTCCTTATCCCCTATGCCCAACGAGACCCGAAGGCACCCACCGCCGCCACTCGCGTACAAACTTTCACCCGAGGCCGAGGACGAGTTCGCATACTCGGGTCTGCTGGGAAGGTCGTACTCTCAACGCGTGAAACAACAGAAAGAAAAAGAGTTGGCCGCTCAGAATTCAGGCCCCTTTATCGAAGGCTCGCTCCTCCAAGGCCCCAGCACACTTCTCCAGCGCACGAACTCGATCAAGTCCATCAAAGCCAGCGGTCGCCGTCCGAACACCGCTGGAGCTGCTAACGGGGCCGGAGGCGATGGCCAGCGCGCAGCGGGCACCAAAGCAGCAGGTCCACCGAAACCGCTACTGGACTTCAAGGCTACGTTCAAAGAGGCACCGCAGTGGGACAAGGCAAATAGGGGGCATGGCGTAGCTCCCGTCCAAGGGGTGCCGTTGGTGGAGATTGCGACGACGCCGGAGGTGTTGCCGGGGGCCATCCTCATCCCGGGGAACACGACGGTGTTTCGGAGGGATGGCAGACCAGCCACGAGTTCTGGGGCTGGGGCTGGGCCTGGAGGTGGAGGGCCGTTTGTCAAGGGGGGGCTGATTAGCGGGCGGTAGCACGCGGTGAGGTGAGGTGAAGGGGAGGGTTGAAGATGATCCCTTGATTTTTCTTCCAAGCGCGGCGTGCCGTTCCGGATGCTTCAAGGTGTTGCTTCCTGTTACATTATGCTGTGGTGTGTTTTGCAAGCTGCACAGGTATGCTTTGCGGTGTTTCTGGCTGGGCTAGCGGGGAAACAAAAGGGCTGGGTCGGAATCGGGAAACAAAATGGACGGTGCGAGTCTTTGCCATCTACCTCTCTCTTTTGTCGTTGTTGTGTTTTGGGTTCTGGATTCTGGATTCTGGATTTTGGGTCTTGGGTTTTTGAAAGGATGGCCATTAGGTATCGTCTATCTACATCGTCCAAATCTCTCTCTACTCTACTCTATCACAAGTGGACGACATGTGTCCTGTCGACGGCTTTAATTTTTTTTTTTCTCTTTTCTTTTCCTTTTTTTTTCTTTTTCTTTTTCATTTTCGACTAGCTTAACTCGACTAGCTTAACTAGCTTATAATATTTTATAATATCTTATCCGGGCTAGGTACCTATCTTATCCTGTTTGTTGATTGTTGATTGTGATGGTGATGGTGATGGTGATGGTGAAGATGGCGTCTGAGAGAAGCGAGGGGACTGAAACTAGGTACGAAGGATTGTACGGTTAGGTATTAAATGGATGTTTTCTGTCGGTAGCAGATGGATCTTTGATCGACTTTGTGAAAGTTGTCGCTGGAGAGCGTGATAGTATCTGTATCTGTACTCACTGCCTTTCTGCTTTCTGCAAAGGTCATACGGAGTAGCCTAGGTCCTCCGTAACTAGCTAGCTAGTCACGCCTCTGGAAGGTGGTGACGCATCATTCCACACGTGTCTCGACGAGGATAGGAAAGACCGAGTTCAGTTTCCTCCTGTATCGGCAAATCAACATTTTCTGTCATTTGGATCTAGGTTACTATTGACCGATTCGTAGAATTTAAGCGAGGCCTCGATGGGACGGACGGCCCTGAGACGGTCTCTTTCTTGCATTAAGATAGTTTGTTTGGTAAACTGTGCTCAATTTATAGGGAGGTCTGACGTTGATTTTACTGTAGCTGGTTCAATTACCGCCCCTCCTACGGCTGAAATGGTTTTAAGGGAAGGTTGGTGGGCTATTGAGTTGAAATGCCTTCGCACCGTCCTCGAGAGTATTCGACGGTGGATCAATATGATTGACTAAGGAAGGTACCTAGGTATACGGTATGCATGCTAAAGATCAGTAGATCGACCGCTTTCCGAAAAGGGTTTGAACCATTGAAATTCTGCCGTCAATTTTTTCCCCTCCTTGACTCGGTTCTGCGCCCACCCCACCCCGCCATCTCCGTCTCCCATTTTCCCCAACCCGCACTTCAACGACGTTTCGTCGCACCGCTTTATCAGTTGTCAATACCAATTCAACAGTTCATCGGTTCGACTTTTCTGACATTCACTTTTACGGACGTTTACTTTTTTTTTTTTTCCATATCAAACTCGAACCACTCCTCTCTCCTTCCGGCCCACACCGCAACGATGTTTCTCACCATCCCAGGGGAGTCTTGCTTCACCTCTGCCGACGCGAAGAAGCTCAAGAAGAGCATTAATGCCACCGGCGCTCTTTGCACGAGAGTCCGGGGATACTGGGTTCACTATGTGCACCTCAAAGACGCTTCAAACCAGGTACGAGAAGAAAGACAACGGGTCTCAGAGTCCGAGGTGGACAGGAGAAAGTAACTTGCGGGACTGGAGTGGAAATTGATGACGAAGGAAATGTGACTAACACCCGTCCCTAAAGGCGACCCAGGAAAAAATCCGTCAGCTCCTCCCCGGCTCCAATTCAGAGTCCAGCGAAGTCCTCAGGAATCCTGGTGGCATGACCCGTTTCTACTACATCACCCCGCGCAACATCTCGCCCTGGAGCTCTAAAGCCACTAGTATCGCCTACGTGTGCGGCCTCAAGTCCAGCTTGCAACGCATCGAGCGCGGTCGCGTCATCCTGCTGAATTTCGAGCAGAATGGGGAGGCTGAGACAGAGGATGTGCCGTTCCGCGACGAGCTGTTTGATCGCATGACCGAGAATATGGAATCAGAAGCGCCGGACATGGATAAGATGTTTGCGGAGGACCAGCCATACCCGCTGGAAGTCATCGAGTTGGGGGAAGACGAGGGGCAGAGGTTGGAGGTACTGAAGGGGTATAATAAGGTGCGAGGGCTTGCGCTGGATCAGCTTGAGATGGAGTATTTGGTTCAAGCTTGTGAGTATTTTCGCTACGCTACCCTGGGAACTTCGGTGACAACTGCCTTTGATGCGGTTGGTCCATTGGCTTGCCGCTTACGCGCACTGTCCTTGGAAACTTGGGGGACACCATGTTGTGAATCGCATACTGATTGATTGGTAGACAAGGAGCTTGGTAGAGATCCCCACGATATCGAGTTGTTCATGTTCGCTCAAGTCAACTCCGAGCATTGTCGGCACAAGCAATTCAATGCAAACTGGACTATCGATGGAACTGCTACGGGTAGATCTCTATTTGAGATGATTCAAAATACCCACAAACAAAACCCCAAATACACTGTTTCGGCATACAGTGACAATGCTGCGGTCTTGGAGGGAGAAGTGGCTAGTTTCTGGGCTCCTGACTATTCTACCGGTAGCTGGAGACAGACCAAGGAAAAGGTCCACTTCCTCATTAAGGTGCGCAGAATTTTGCTCGGGTATGATAATTTGACAGGGATGCTAAGCAAATAGCTAGGTCGAGACACACAACCATCCTACAGCTATCTCTCCGTTTCCAGGAGCTGCGACTGGGTCCGGTGGTGAGATTCGAGATGAAGGAGCCGTGGGCCGAGGATCGACCCCCAAAGCTGGACTTTGTGGATTCTGGGTCTCTGATCTCCTGATTCCCGATCACAAACAGCCCTGGGAAATGGACTTCGGCAAGCCAGCACATTACGCGAGCAGCCTCGATATCATGCTCGAAGCTCCGATTGGCAGCGCTAGATTTAACAACGAGTTTGGCCGACCTTGCTTGACTGGATGCTTCCGCACACTTCTCGCCGATGTTGACACCGGAGTTGATGGTCACGAAACCCGAGGATACCATAAGCCAATCATGATCGCGGGTGGTGTCGGAACCGTTAGACCTCAGCATGCTCTCAAAGATGGACGAGATGTCAGGGAAGAAGCCCACATTATTGTGCTCGGTGGCCCAGCTATGCTGATCGGTCTTGGGGGAGGGGCTGCGTCAAGTAACGCCTCTGGAGAAGGATCTGTGGAACTCGACTTTGATAGTGTCCAGCGTGGCAACCCTGAAATGGAACGCCGGGCCCAGATGGTGATCAATACATGTGTGGCTCTTGGAGAAAACAACCCTATTGCCTTCATTCACGATGTTGGCGCTGGAGGTCTTTCCAATGCTCTACCTGAATTGGTCAAGGATGCCGGATTTGGAGGCAAATTCGAACTACGACAGATCGAAAATGCAGACAGGAGTATGAGCCCTCTACAGATCTGGTGTTGCGAGGCCCAAGAAAGATATGTCATGATTGTCAACAAAGAGCACATGAACCGGTTCACCAGCATTGCGAATCGGGAGCGTTGCGGATTCTCTGATGTTGGCACTGTGACGAAGATGGATTCGAATGGTCACGGCAGCCTTGTTCTGACCGATCGGGAATCTACGGAGTACCCCAAGCCTATTGATATGCCAATGTCTCTACTCTTTCCGAAGGGCAGAAAATTAGACCGAAGTGTCAAGACGCGAAAACCTGTCCTGACTCCCTTCGACGCCAGAGAAGCTCTCATCAACGCATACCCGCAATTTCCCGAACACTACCTCATCGGAAAAGCTATCGAGCGAATCTTCCATTTACCAGCCGTTGGTTCAAAGTCCTTCTTGATTACTATTGGAGATCGTTCCGTCGGAGGTATGACAGTCAGGGATCAGATGGTTGGCCCGTGGCAAACGCCTGTTGCAGATGTTGCAGTGACTGTCACTGCTCTGAACATGGGCGACAAAATAAAGACGGGAGAAGCTATGAGTATGGGAGATAAGCCCAATATCGCCCTCGTCTCGCCAGCTGCATCGGCGAGAATGGCAGTTGCGGAGTCTTTGATGAACTTGGCTGCTGCTCACGTCCTTCGTGCGGACGAAGGTGACCTGGCCCGAGTCAAGCTCTCTGCGAATTGGATGGCTGCAGTTAACCACCCTGGTGAGGCCGCCGCTCTGTACGAGGCAGTGCATGCCATTGGTATGGACCTGTGCCCAGCTCTTGGTATCAGCATTCCAGTCGGCAAAGACTCTACGTCAATGAAGGCATCCTGGAAGGATCAGAAGACTGGGGATGCCAAGAGCGTCACTGCTCCAATGACAGTTGTCATCTCGGCCTTCGCACCTGTCGCGAACGTACGCAACACCTGGACTCCGACTTTGCGAAGATTTGAGGACGTTGGTGAGACCTTACTCATGTACGTTGATCTTGCTCAAGGTCACCAAGCATTGGGCGGCTCGGCACTTGCCCAGAGCTTTGGCCAGCTGGGACATGAAGTACCTGATGTCAGGGATGCTGATCTGATCCGGGATTACTTTGACGCTATTGTCCAGATGCACGAAATTGGCGTTGTTCTCGCCTACCATGATATCTCAGACGGTGGTCTGATCACTACAATCGCTGAGATGATGTTCGCTGGCAGATGCGGTGCTGAGATTGTGATTGACAGCTTTGCGAAGAGCTCTGGACTTTCTGATGTCTTGGGATCTCTCTTCAATGAAGAGTTAGGTGCAGTTTTCCAGGTCCGCAAATCAGACGAGACGAGATTCAGAAGTTGCTTCGCTACATGTGGTCCTCCTAAAGGAATGGTGCGAACAATCGGCCGTGTTCCTGCAGCATCGAAGCAAGAACTCTCTATCCGCTACGGCCAACAGACAATCATCCGCCTGCGCCGATCCGAGATGCAGCAAATGTGGGCTAGCACATCCTACCAAATGCAGCGCATCCGCGATAACGTCGACTGTGCCGCCTCCGAGTTCGACACCATCAGCGACGACCGCGACCCTGGACTCCGCTACAAACTAACCTTCGACCCCAAAGAGAACATCCTCCCCCTGACATCCTCCATCACTTCCGTCTTTACCAAGATCCCCCGCGTCGCCATCCTCCGCGAGCAAGGCGTCAACGGCCACGCCGAGATGGCCTTTGCATTTAAAGCCGCTGGCTTCGACCCCATTGATGTCCACATGACCGATATCATCGATGGCCGCTCCCTCGCCGATTTTGTCGGCATCGCCGCCTGCGGCGGCTTCTCCTACGGCGATGTCCTCGGCGCAGGACAAGGCTGGGCCAAGTCCATCCTTATGCACGAAGAGAACGCCCGTCCTGAGTTCCAGAAATTCTTCGCCCGTCCTGATACCTTCGCTTTGGGCGTGTGCAATGGTTGCCAGATGCTCTCCCGTATCGCCGAGCTTATCCCCGGCGCCCAACACTGGCCCACCTTCCTACCAAACGAAAGCGAACAATTCGAAGGCCGCGTCTCCATGGTCAAGATCCAAGATAACAAGAAATCACCTTCCGTCTTCCTGCACGGTATGAGCGGCACATCGATGCCAATCGTCGTTTCTCACGGCGAAGGCCGCGCTTCATTCCGCAGTGTAGCGGATCTAGAGGCCATGAATGAACATGGGCTGGTGCCGATTCGATATACGGACAACCTGGGCAATGTGACGACGCGGTACCCGGCGAACCCTAACGGTAGTCCGGAGGGTATTGCGGGGGTGAAAAGTTTGGACGGGCGGGTGCTGGCTATGATGCCGCATCCGGAGCGCACGGTGATGGCTGATGTTGGGTCATATATTCCGAGTAATCTGGTCGAGGGTTGGGGCGAGTTCGGGCCGTGGGTACGGATGTTCAAGAGTGCTAGGCGGTGGGTTGGTTAAGCTACTGGTTGGATGGCCCTCGTTCGGTATTTCTTGCCTGCCTGGTTCGGGATGAATGATCGAATGCATGTATCGTGGGTGGATGGGTGGGTAGGTAGACATTGGCGTTTTCCCAGCATAACGAAAAAAAATACCCCCTTTTATTTGATCTCCCTCCTTGGGCTCCTGTCTCCAAAAATGAATCTGGTTCCTCTCCCTCCTCCAAGGCCGGCCGCCTCCCTCGCCCGCACTTTTCAACGTCCCTAGCTTTCATCACTCGGCCGGTAACAGTACCCCCTTCTCCTTTGAAACCCAAATCCCAAGCCCTTTTTCCCTTTTTTTTTTCCTTTCTTTTCTCTTCTCTTTTCTCTTCTCTTTTCTCTTCTCTTTTCTCTTCTCTTTTCTCTTTTCGAAAAGCAAGAAGCGATTGATGGATGGATGGATTGATCTCCCTCCTGCTGATGATGAGAATCGGCCATCTATCCATCCATGCATCCATGCATCCATCCTCTCCCTCCTCCTCTAGGTGCTCTACTAGGTTCTTTACTAGGTGCTCTACTAGTTCAGACCGAAAGGATGTCAGGAGGCGGACGAGTACCGGTACCTCGCAATCCGCTCTCTGCATGCACGGGAGCGAGGACCGAGTACCGATACCGATACCGAGGGAGTTCGCTTGGGTGGGGGTGTTGTAGGGTTGGATTGGTTGGATTGGTTGGATGGGTGTTTGGTTGTATGGGTGTTTTGGTTGGATTGGTTGGATTGTTTTGGTTGTTTGGTATGGAATGGCGTGTTATATCAGGTGTAATGAGGTGAGGTGGAGTGAATTGGGTTGGATTGGATTGAGGTGAGGTGGAGTGAGGCGGGTTGGGTTGGTTTACGCTGTCGGTTAGGTACGTATTTGGCTTTGGTGGAGAGAGGTTGGGGAAAAGAAGAAGGATTGGGTACCGGTAGGTATTGCGTGTGTATGTACGAATTGGGTGGGATATGGTATTGAGGATTGAGATGGGGTCGCATTTGGGTAGGTAGATAGATAGGTTAGGTTGGGTTGGGTTGGGTTGGCTGTCGTTGGTTTCTTTCTTTCTTTTTTTTTAAAAATTTATTTATTTATTTATTTATTTATTTATTTATTTATTTATTTATTTATTTATTTATTTATTTATTTATTTATTTATTTATTTATTTATTTATTTATTTATTTATTTATTTATTTATTTATTTATTTATTTATTTATTTATTTATTTATTTATTTATTTATTTATTTATTTATTTATTTA